TATCCATGATGGAATTCCACTATTAATGACTTCTTTACCTTTCCTAGATCTAGCAAGTTCCTCATCCAAGGTTTGATTTTTCACTTTTTACTTCTTCCAAATCTGATTTTAGTTTCTAGTTTGGAAGTTGGCTTGTGGGAGAAACTTCATAATCAGGAGAATTAATTCCAAGTTTCAATTGAGCTAGCTCTACATTTTAACATAATATTATCATGTTTCAATTTTTTAACTTGTTCTTTTAGATGGACATTTTTATCATATAGATCAAAGAATATAGTGTGAATATCAGTCTTCATATTGTCAACCCATTCATTATGTTCTTTGTGGATTTTTAAATCTTGATCAGTTTGGAACTTTGACCTATTTAGTTCAATACAGTCATCCTGAAGTTCCAAAATAATGTTTATAAGATTTTCTTTGTTTAAATATTTGAGTTGTCGATAACCATATCATACCTCAGATACAAGTTCCTTCAGACGAGCTTCATTATCAGTTTTAGCCATCAAGCATAAATTGGTTGTTTCTTCCATGGATTCTCTTTATCCTTCTACTTCGGAGTCAAAGATTCCCCATGCAGCCACCATGGCTTTCCTGACATCTTCCTTGGAGAATGATGATTTATAGCACTTACTTTGCTCCTTCCCTTTGTATTTGGGTTTATCATCCTCCTTAGGTTGAGGACAGTCTCTGATGAGGTGTTCCTTGGAGCCACATCCAAAGCACTTGATCTCCTTGGAACTTAGCTGTCCTCATTTACTCTTGTCTGCTCTTTTTCCTAGCATCTTCCTGAACCTCCGTACAAGCATTGCTGTTTCAACATCATCATCTTCAGAGTCGCTTGATTCATAAGCCTTTAGAGCCATACTTTTATTCTTGGAACTTTCAGTGTTTGCTCCAAGATGAAGTTCATGAGTGAGCAGGAATCTGTTGTGTTGTTCAGGGTTGAACTTGGTGAAGTCCTTTGACTCCTGTACAACAGTAACCTTGGATCTCCACCTCTCATCTTGAGGAAGACTTCTAAGAACTTGTCTCACCTGTTCATCAATGGGTATGGACCTGCCTAAAGATTCTAACTTATTGACAATGTTAGTAAATCTAATGAACATATCCTGAATAGATTCTTTGTGTAGCATTTCGAATCTTTCATATTTTGACATTAGTAAATCAATTTTGGAATGTTTAACTTCATTTGTTCCTTCATGTGTTACTTGTAACAAATCCCAAATCTGCTTTGCGGACTTACAACCCGTGATTCTATTATGCTCATGAGGTCCTAGTCCACAATGCATTATTTTCACTGCTTGAGCATTCAACTCATATTTTTCTTAATCTTCTTTATCAAATTCAGCCAGTGGTTTAGGGATTACCTCTTTGTTTGAATTGGTTTTTGTTACCTCGAAGTCACCACTTTCAATGACTCTCCAAACTTGATAATTTTCAGCTTTGATAAATATCTCCATTCTATTCTTCCAGTATGAATAGAACTTGCCATTGAACATTGGTGGTCTTTGGGTCGATAACCCTTCTTCAAGTTTCTCGTGTGCATTTATCTCTTCAGGAACTTACTCTACAAGGTTGCTTGTAATTTTGTGAGAACCTGCTCTGATACCAATTGTTAGTTTAGATGAACTACTACGAAAGGGGGGTGAAAAGTAGTAGGTTCCAATCGTGAAACTTATGCGGAAATTTAAAACATAACATAAAAGGAACTTAAAGAACACAACACGTTTATGAGGAAACCATTCAGTGCCTAACTGGAAGTAAAACCTCGGCTTTATTGGGACTTATAAACAAATTCCACTATAATAGGCAACTCTCCTAGTAAAACCTATTACACAGACCATTGCTTCGCAAGTTCCACCACAGACACTTGCCACTTGATTGGACACCTCCTACCAGACCTAAGACACTTCCTAGGTACCTTTTTCTCATTAACCCAGGACACTTCCTAGGTGACCTAAGACACCTCTTAGGTTCCTTTCACTTGGCCCAAGGCACCTCTCAGGTTCCTTTTCACTCACTGTGCACTCACAGCTACCACTAGAATTTTAGAGTATTCAAACTCATACACTCTAACGTGAATTTGTAGAGAATTCATAATCTCACCCCAAAAACCAATTAGAACACAAAGACTCACTATAACTCACAAATGGAAAGCTACACATGAAACCCAAAATCAAATTGATAAAGCTTAAACCTTTGGCAACCTTATTCTTAAGCAATGAGTGGTTTTCACGCTAAAAACTCTCATTTTGTTTCACTGAATTACTTCTGTATTTATTGAAGTTCCCCAGTTCACAAAGTGTGGTTTTCAAAAACATGATAAGCTCAAACAGAAATCTAAACTTATCTCTTTAAATCGAGATCAAAACAGATTTAATTTCGCTTTATTTGAAAACCAATTTTTATCAAATTCGTTTTAATTAAAAGATAGAATTTTATGAAAAAGATAAAACCGGGTTAAAACCAGATTTTAGAAGACAAAATCAAATAAATAATTTTTCATAAAAACTGTAATTATCTTTTACAAATTGATGAGCTTGCCAAACTTTATCTGATTTCTAATAAGTTCCATGCATAACAACCATTTACATGCTTACATCAACCTATAAAACAAACTTATCTTTTATACAACTATAAGTTATGAAGTCCATATTTTTTGGTTGATATCTCGAGCTTTGCACTGTTCCTAGGTCATTGAGGTTTGCCCCAGCATTACATTGGAACCAGGTCATTACAACCCGTTTTGAAGTTCCTGTTAAGAAACTTTGGGAGGTTCCATTTCTGGAACTCTTCTTTTGTCTTTACTTGTCCTCATGTATCTTCTAAAGTTCCTTTGTTTCAGTTCCTACTTCAGCTCCCAAAGCTTACTGAACCTGCAAACATTACAACACTAGAAAATCCTTATTAGATGGAAGTTTCCTCAATTCTTAACATCATCATCAAAACCTCATAAAGGTTCAACAAATATGATTCCCCAAATAATGGTCCCTATTAGTAACACAACCAAATGTTTAATTACGCAGGGTTGAACCATCAAAATTGAGTCTACACTAGCCCACTAGGGGAAAGGACCAAGATATAATAGCGCGGGGGAGGGGGGCTGGGACTGGGACTGAGTGGTAATAGTAGTAGACTTAATGGTTGAAAAGTGGATATCATACCATCCAAAAATAGAACGATCCTTCCAATCTTGAAATAGAGAAAAGGTACATATATAAATACTATTAATATTATAGGTTGTAGTATATTAAAAAATAAGACTATTACGACTTTTCCAGATACACCAATAAAGGATGGAAATCGTAAGGAGAGAGTAGGGAGAAGAAATATGAAGAGACTGAAAAATATATGTGATTGTGGTAGAAGATGGGATAAGAACTTCATGAGTACGTAGAAGACCAAACAATTAAGGAGAAAGGGAATAGAAGGAATAAGTAATGTTGAGATTTAGAATGCATATATTAAAAAAACACACAACAAGAAGGGATGATATTAATATTTCAAGAGATTAGACAAAAGTTTTTCTAGTAGGGAGACTATTCAGAAGGATTTGCCATAAAATGATTCTATTTTTGGGTGGAATAATGTCGAAGTTCCTTATTTAGCGGCTTTCCCACCTAGAAGAAGACAAAACAAAATTGTGCGCCATCCAAGTGGTTGATGTAACACTAAATTGACCATCCTTAGACATACCATAACAGGGTTCATTATGGGAATAAAGAAAGGGGATTCCTGATATAATTTTTACTAGGTCATGAGGGAGGACTGAAAGTAAAAGGGGAGCATTTTGAGTATTAGTTTCGAGGATAAACATATCACCAATGATATCAATATTAGGAAGGAAAAATAGGTAAAAATACTCCCAACTTTTGCCCGTTCGCTAAAACAATGGACCCAAGTGACCGGTAACCTGTTAATGAGATATTTTTTTTAGTTTAAGTGACACATGTCACCACGTAAATTATTGAAAATAAATAAAAAATGTAAAAAAAAATAAAAATAAAGAAAACCTAGCCCCAACCCATGCCAACCCCTCCGCCAGCCACTAGCGACTCTTCTCCCACCGGCCAAGCAAGACCCCCTCCCCCTCTCGCACAGGCCCATTCCCAACCCCCTCCCCACTACAAACACCACCCTTTTCCAACGCCTAAATCTCCAGTGATTAACTTGCTACACAACTGCCTTGTCTCGCCCCTCAGTTACAGCGTCATGACGTAGGGAAAATGTAGGTCGTTTTCTAATCTCCCCTAGAGCCAAACAAATTTATAATCACTTAAAAAACCTAATACGAGTATAAGGTAAGTCAACGGTTGAACCTAAAGGAATGAGTAGGTGAAATTTATAGCCTAGGGTCAAGCTACTTCAAAGATTGTAAGATGAATTGAATTATAACTAATGTATCAAATAGCTAAACAAGTCAAAGAAATTTAGTATTCTAAACACTAGGGAAATAGGTTCCTTATGCAAGCTTAATGATTATGCTAATCAATGGATGACTCGATTGATTCAAACATTGCAAATGACAAACAATAGTTGCAATTAATAGAATCCAAAAGCTATCTCCTATAAGCCAAGCTAGGGTTCATATCTCAAATCAAGGAGAATCACAATCAAATTCAACCAATTAAAGCAATTCCCAAATTCAAGGGTTCATGTCAATGAAATTTCTATGCAATCTAGATTAATCTTATAGATTGATCACTCCAAGTCTAATTAATCACATGCACAACTATGTCAACCAATTTAATTGCAACAATTCAATCAACAAAGAATCATCAACTAGCAATAATCAACAACCAATCATGCTTCCCATTCTCTCTAGCTACTAATCTACACACTAATCATGGTGGAATTGAAAAACAAAGCAAATTGAATCACAAACATCATCATTTTAAGCTTAATCAAAGAGGAAATCAAACATTCAACAAATTCTCAACCAAAGATAAAAAATCAAATCAAACATTCAAGGATTAAAGGAAATAGAAAGCAGAAGTAAATTCAAAGGAAGAAAATGTCACAAACTTTCATTCATTGAAGATGAAATCCAAGATCAAAGATGAAATCAAAGATGAAATTGAAGTGTAAAAAAAAAACAAGTAATCTCAAGTTTCTCTCTCTTCTAATTCTGGAAATAAGTCTCAAGTACATATAAAATCACCAACCCCTAAAACAGGAAAAGTCAAGGCTATTTATAATAAATCGACCAAAGGGAGATGGAGCAGCCCGTGCGCACGCACCAGCCCCCATGCGCATGCAAAACAGGATCTGCGTGCATGCACATAGGGGCCTACGCGCACGCATCCCTGCTGTGGTACTAGTGGTGCTTGGCTTCCCTTGCTCGCTCATAGATCCTTACACTCTCATGCATCCTCATCGTTGGTGCTCTCGAGGTGATGCCCGCAAGGAGGGAAGCCTTTTATTCTTTAAATATTTGCGCACTCCAGACCTAAAATGAATGAGAAAACATTTGTAAGAGAGCGGTAAACAAGATTTCAAAACATTACTTGCAAGAATTCAAGTAAAAGTAAGAGAGGAAGCGAAAAGAATTGAAATTAAACTAAAATAACTAAATAAGAACAAAAATCATGAAAAACTCATAAAAGTGAACAAAAAACCAAAGTGAGCTATAAAGACGGAAAATAAAAGAAAACTAGAAAGATTATTAGAAAATAAAACGAGAAAATATAGAAAAAGGAATCGAAAACTACTCTATTGAGCGCCATAAATGACGCTCATCACGGCAACCGCAACAAAACAACCCAACAGCCCCATCATCTTACTACAGTAACTCCACCGCCACAATCGCCAACAATAACAATCAATCACACCGCCAAACGGAAACAATCGCAACCACACATCAAACCACAATTTCGGCAGGGTTTTTTTTTAATTGTTTCAAGTATTTTTATGCGGTGGAGGTTAATGATTTAGGGGAAAGAGGAGGGAAGAACCGGTGTGAGGGGGGGTGTGGGGAAGGTCAGGGAGATGGCGCTAGCGTAAGGGAAGCTCGACAGCTTTGGCAGGAGATATTGGGTGGTTGCAGGAGGATTGTTATGGGTGTGGGCTTGGGTTTTTTGAATTTTTTTTTTAAATAATTTCAACCAATCATGTAGTGCCACGTGTTCTTTGACTTGATATAGAAAATTAGGAGACCGGTTGGGTCCATTTTGAGAGAATAACCCCTAAAGTTCTATATTTAAAAATAAGCCAAAGTTGGGATCTTTTTGAGCAAACGAAAAAAATTGAGATTATTTTTACCAATTTTTCCTATTAGGATTATGATCTGGGTCCAAATTTAAAAGGGAAATGATATTAGTATTAGCATACCAAATATCAACGTACAAAAGAATAGAAGAACCTTTACCAATCTATTGGAGGTTCTTAATCAATAAAGGACGAATTTGGAATCGTTTTTTCAAATCAAAGAATGCATAAACTGAGATTGATAATTTTGAATGTAGGAGCTACGAAGGTTTTTTCGGCGTAATTTATTGAACCCATAAATTAGAGGGTGAGTCATGATTTTACATCCTAAGTTAGTTGAAAAGGCATAAATAATATAGCATCTGTTTTATGTAAACCTAAGCCACCTTGATTCTTTGGTTGACAAATATTATTCGAAGCAATCATTGGCTTGGAGTAAAATATTCAGTTAATTTTACCCAAAGAAGACGTAAAAGAAACAAGAAGGGGATCGAGCTATAGTCATAGTATAAGAGGTTGGAAGACCGAGAATTTAATTTTTGATCAACTTTTGAGATAAGATGGTAGAAACTAAAATGCGAGAAATTAAAAATTAAAAAAAACCCCTAAATATTGACGAAGATTGGACTTGGGAGTCATATTAAAAAAAAGGGAAATTTTGCGAAAAACCAACTTTTTATAAGAATTTTTTTTATAAGAAACCACTTTCTAATTATTTTTTTTATTTTTAATTTTTTTTGCAATGACACTTTTTTTTTTCTTTTTGTTTTTTTTTATAATGACACACCTTCATAAATTTTATTTTTTATTTATTATTTTTTTTTTTGCAATGAGACACCTTTAGCCGAAAAAGAGGGTTTGACCCAATTTTCGGCGTTAACCAGACCACGTGCGAGGCATGTGATCTCTTAAAACCATTCTCCAACTACGCCAACCACCAGAACGACACCGAAACCGACTTAACCACCCATCAAAACCGCCTTACCCACCCCACCACACCGAAACCACTCTATTTGGTGTCGTTTTGGTGGGTGGCATAGTTGAAGAGTGGTTTAAGAGGTCATGTGCCTCGGACGTGGTCGAGTCAAAGCCTATAAACAGGGTCAAACCCTCTTTTCCGGCCAAAGGTGTGGCATTCCAAAAAAAATATTTGAGTAAGGTGTGTCATTGGAAAAAAAAAAGGTGTTTTCTTGCAGAAAACTATTTATAAAAATGTGGTTTTTTGCAAAATTTAAAAAAAAAAAAAAGCCAAATTAGCTTTATTACGATTTGAAACATATTTAAAGATAACAATAGAAGATATATGGAAGTTAATAAGCTGACCTGAGAGAGAAGCAAACTTTACGAGGAACATAGTAGTAGTTTTACAGAATAGAAGACAGTCATCCGCATAGTAAACAAGATATAATCAAAGTTGACAGCGCAATTGAGTATTTATTTAGATAGCTTAGGTTTACAATATGTAATATTTTATACTCCTTCCATATTACAGCAGACAAAGGATGATCAAAGGTGACGCCACAATTGAGTAATTATTTAGATAAGTTTATGGTATCTAATACGCAGTAGTTTATACTCCTTCCACTTATTTTCAAGGAAATGTTGATCACGTGCAAGTATGCCAATGCGTAACTTTGATCAATAATCCAAGTATTATCGATTCCTATAGTGATAAATAAAAATTATAGTATTGAATACTCCCTCCATGTTTTAATAAGTATTATAGTTTACCTGGCACATAGTTTTAGGAAATTTAATTAACTTAAATAATATAAGAGGTAAGTTGGGTATTTGAAGTATTAAAAAATTTTAAACGAAAGATAGTGAGATTAATATTTTATTGAGAAATAATGGATGTGAGAAAATATATAATAAAAAATAGTAGTGGGTTTTGGTGGGGACTATGAGAGGAGAGATATATATTATTTTAATATAGTTTTTTGCCCAAAAAAGAAATTGTAACACTTATTAAAACACGGAGGGAGTATTAATATTTTTTTCATTAATTAAGTTGATTCCAACAAGTACCAAAAAGATTATATATTTTTTTCTTATGTGTAAATGACTAAAATGAGCCAAAGTGAATTAGAACAATAGTGCAAAAAATCAAAACAGTCCGCTTTAAAAAAAAAAAAGGTAAGGAGTAACTCATTCAACAACTATATTAACTAAAATTCTTGGATAATTTTTCTGAATGAACATTTTATTCCCATTTTGTGAGAAAGGATCTTTCAAAAAAGAAGCTAGAAAAAGAGGGCTTGTTATGTTTTTATTTAATTTTTCTTATAATTTATTTTTGGGAAATTATCTTTGGTAGACCTCTAATAATAAAAATTCTCAGATGTACAAAGCAAAAAAATTATTATTCTTGGTGAACTATATTTTAAAAAGTTTAGTCATTGGTAACATTAAGCAAGGTAATTAGGCATTTCTTAACCGTGGTTAACCATTCTAAGTTAAAAAAGCTGTGATGCCTAAAATACCCCCATTTAATTTCCCCCTACCACAAATGTCAAATCATTTCCTTGACTTTATACGCTCAGGCTTCTTCATCTTCATTGTTCGGCATTCGACATAAATGATTGCTCAACTTCTCTTAAAGTTGTAATTCGATTTTTTTCCTTAAAAAACTAGGGCTCTTTCAAACAATTGATCTGGGTTACTATTTGTAGTTTGTAGTGGTGATTAAACACATTCTGAGTGAAAATTGAAGACAGTGTGAGGGTTTCGTGTTCCAAAAAAATTACGGGTTGTAGAATTCGTTTTTAGGTAAGACGGTCTACATCAAAGTTCGAACTTCTTGGGAAAATACCACCATTTAGACTAAATTGAAGGCGGGTATGTGTTTTTTTGCATACAAGGTTTTGATATGCTCTATTTTTTGGTTAATGGAGTTGGATATGAAATGTGGTTGATGGTATTGGTTATATTTGTTTGATTGATTATGTTAATTGTTAAAGTTCACTTTTTTATTTGTTTAGGGTTTTGATTATGTGGTAATTTGTTGTTTATTGTTGGATTGGTATGCAATTTAGGGCAGATTCTTATACAATTATTTGTTAGATGTTGTTTAGTTTGATTGATGCAGAATGGTTGATAAAATTGTGCTACAATTTCAGTATAGGGGTGTTGATGTGTCTATTTTGGTTGATGATGTTGATAAAGTTAACTTGATAGACCTTATTGTAGAGTACTGGGAAAAAGTTAAGGAGAATAATATTGAAACACCAAAAAACCCCACTTTTCAATATGTGTATAAAATGAAGCATGTAGCTCTTCTAAGTGATGCTGATTTGATGAAGATGTTTGGTAATTTGCCTGAAAAAATTTGAGATATACATATGGGTTGGGGATGGTCTTAAAGACAGTAAGGATGTTGCAGCTGCAAGATCATTAAGGAGTGGAAAGGGAAAGCAACATGTAGCTAAAACAGTAGCTAATCTAGTTCTTGAACCTGAAGCTAACCTAGTAGATGAACCAGTAGCTAAGGTAATAGTTGAACCATCAAATAGAAATACCAAAAAACTCACACCTAGGAAGAATAAGCAGCCTGAGAATGTAGAAGTTGTAGTAGTTAGCAAGGCTGACTTTGATAGACATGTGAAGGCTCTAGGATAGTCAAACAAAGTGAGTGGACCTAAGGTTTTAAATTATGATCCAGATGAAACATGGGCTTAGTTAGAAGCTAAGATGGAAGAAAACCCTCAACCTAAGGGTAGAGGGAGGGGGAAAGGGAATGAATGAGGGAGAGAATTTGAGAGAGGGAGAGGCAGAGGTAGGAGTAGAGGGAGAGGGAGAGGTAGATCTTCTGACAAAGGGAGGGGAAGAAGGAATGCCTTGGAGAATTGATTCAACATTTCCCTAACACCATGGCCAACTTACCAACAAAATCGACCTCATGAAGATGACCAAACTGCTGACCCAAATGAAAATCATTACCAACTGCCCCATGATATCATCACACAAAATACCCAAGCCCAACCATCTACACAGTCTATGATACCTCCTTTGCAAAACATTGGTCAGTTTGGACTTAGGGGTAACTCAGGTGAGAATCAATCATCTAATTCATCAAGAGTGTCGGCCTTTTTTCAAAAGAGAGTGCCTAGAACAACTGCTAAGAGAAAAGGGATTGTGATTAGCACAAGTAAAAGTAGGCGGGATAGTTAACAAACTGGGGATTAGAATAGGAGAAGGAATGTTGTTGTTAGCTTAGGTGAAGACAATGATAATACCAGTCTGGCTTTAGTTAGTGATGAGGGTGACATTGAAGATGATGGTTATAGTCCTCCTAGAATATCTGATGAAGACATGAGTGATGAGTCACAAAATGTCAATTTAGATGATGAAGATGAGTTGCCTAAGGATGAGTATGGGCCAATGATTGAAGACAGTTATGATCCTTTTGAGGATGAAATTTTTTAGTGTGAGAATGAATAGGACAACTATATAACAAATTTATATAACAATGGAGAGGTGTATAAGGATGAGGTCTTTAGGAAAATAGTTCTCAAGCCATGGTAGTTGTTCATGGACAAGTAACATCGCATGGATGTTGTGAGGGATTACTGCATCAAGTGTGGATTTGCAGTAGATGTTGAGTGGGCTAGCAACAAGAGGTATTGTTATAGATGCTTTGATGTGAACTGTGGCTAGAGATTACATGCATCTGTTCTTCCAGATGAGTGCACTTGGGCAATTAAAAGTATACAAAACCCAGAGCATACATGTGCAAGACTTGAGACAAGAAATAGTATGGTTAATGTGAAGTGGGCTATGAGAGTCTTACTTAAAGATATAAGATCAAGCAATGATGTTCCTGCCAAGGCCTTGAATGAGTTACTTTGGAAAAGGTATGGAGTCACTATGGCACAAAGCACACTGTACAAGGTCTAGACAAAGGCCTTATTTAAAATTCACGGTGGCCATGATGTCTCTTAATTACAAGGAATTACCTAGGTATAGTGATGTTATCAAGCAGCTAAATCCTAATTCATTAGCACCATGTGCATGGAAGAATGTAGGTCCTGACAGGCCCGTGGTGTCCAGTAGCATATTCATTACATTTAAGGCTTCAATAAATGGGTTCAGTGCTGGATGCAAAAGCTTAATTGGAGTGGATGGAGCTCATCTTAAGGGAAACTATGGTGGGTTCTTATTGTCTGCGGTAGCTCTTGATGGAAATAATGAGATATTTCTTGTAGCATGGGCAATAGTAGGAGTTGAAGATGCTGACATCTAGAAGCTCTTCCTGTATCACTTAAAGAATGCCTTAGAATCAAGTGGCAGGGGTGATAATTGGTGCATAATAAGTGACAGACAAAAGGTATATTCACATGCCCCTAATATGCTTGTTATTGCTTCTGTATGTTTGTATAAGTTAGGCCATAATACACTTGTTTTTCTCTAAAGGGTTTTGATCCTGCCATTAGTATTTTATGGCCAAAAGTAGGCAGAAGATATTGTTGCAAGAACTTGGTGAAGAACTACATGAAGGAATATCCTGGTTTGTTGATGTTCCAATTATTCTGGAAGGCTGCTGGAGCATTCAATCCATTTACCTTTAAAAAGGAAATGGAAGTGTTGAAGAAGGCCAATCCCCTAGCTCTTGTTTAGCTGTCACTGCTTGGATTACAATCAAGATGGTCAAAGCATGCTTTCAATCCAGATGTGAAGTGTGATACAAATAAATCAAACTTTATAGAATGCTTTAATTCGTGGTTTTTCGAAAAAATATGGAATGTTCATGCTCACTGGAATGTACCTGCATTTATATTTTGGACTTTAGGACTTTGCTCATGTAATTGGGGTTGACCTAAGACTTAATGTTGCTTGACTCATTGACTTGACACAACTCAAGGTATAAACATGACATAATGATGACTCACTTCATGTGACTCGTGTGTGCATAGTGTTGACTCAATGTGATAACACGACATGACTTAATGTGTAAATGACTCGTGTGTGAATTGTGATGTGATCGTGCGACTCGAAAATGCAAAAAAGCAAAAATTTTCCGTCATTTTTGTTGCGGGTACCGACTTTCTCTCGAAAAAAAAGAAAGATGCGAAAAACGAAAGAAGCGAAGTTTTTGAAGGTGCATGTTGAATGAGCTTAATCCGTTAACGTTATCTCTCATAGTACTAGGATTGTTACATCTTTGACTATCCTAGTTGACTCGATAATGAAAGTATTTAGGTAACTTAGGCGCGGAGGCTAAGTACTTCATACTTTGTGATGTAATAATGATTGATCTTGATATGACAAGGCATGCTTCAGCGTTGTGTTAAGATTTCATGACAAAGGGTTCCTAAGAGAAGTATATTTGGGCATGTATCTGTGCAGTGTGTGAAAGTGACACTAAGGTTAGGCCGCAAAGGCTAAGTGTATGGAAAGATATTATTTTGAGAAGAGCCAAAAGATGGTATCTCTTAGGCTAAGTAGGATAACAATGTAAGGATCAAGCCCCCAAGTCTAGCTCTAAGTAGATAGGGATGAGCATAGGGGATCCCTTGATATGATCATTTATTAAAGTAGATATGAATGAATGAATTTTTATTACGCCCGCACCTCAATACGAGGTTGCCTATGTATCCGTTAGGAATCAGGCTGAACTTAGCTCTAGCCAAACCTCGCA